GAAAGAGAAGAAAGATCTTCCAGGTGGTTTTCCCAAGATGGAAAGAGGGAGAAGGAAAAGCTAGTGATCGTCAGCAGCCCAGAGCCTACCCGGCTTGTTGATTCCGCCCTCAAGACCACGTTGTGGCTAGAGAAGGCAGATGAATTTGGCATTAGAGTTGTTTGCTGATTGACATCAAGATTTCCCACTGATTCTGAAGGGTCATTAGATTCTGTAGGCAGCTCTGCAGGTATAAAAAGTAGCTCCTGCCCTCAAGCCATCCTTGAAGGTGTTCTGCAGATAAGGGAAGCTGCAGAGTCAGTTTGGGCAGAATGGTGGAGGAAGGGTATTGCTTTGTTTTCTGCGTACACTGAGCACTCTGCGCCCTCCAGCTCCGAAGCCCAGCAAAACCAGGTGACCAACTTGTCTCTCTCTTCTGCTGCAGAGGAGAATGAGGGGGCCCAGTGCCAAGACACCTCCAAGTTCTGGGACCACTGGACTGAACTGCTCTGCAGGCTGGGCCTCGCGTTCAGTGGGTTTACGTACAGGAGTAAAGGTCCCATGCTCGGTTCAGGCACAACTGAATGCAGCGCTGCTCTAAGTCACACATAGAAATACTGGTCCTAAAAGCTCCTCCTCAACTAATATGTCTTGTTGGGTGAGAGCGGTCCTACACGTTCACTAAGTGAGTGAGGGGCTTGTAGACTTGCATTTACTTGTTCAGACTTCTGCAGGGCTCGTCAGCGGGGCAGAACACTCTCCTCGGGCCATCTTTTCCACCCTAAACAAGTAAATGTTTACTAAACAAGCCAACATCTTCCAAGATGCCCGACTAACATTCCTGGAGGAACTGGGCATGTCCTACTGGGTACTGATTGAAGGAGAAACCTTATTTTAAAGCAAGGGGATTTCACGCACTGTTGGGAAATAATGACCACAGTGGAAATACTTGTCTCCAGTAAGGCAGGTTAGATACTTACAGTCCCAAAGTTGGGTGTCCAATTAATCCTCCAGCAAGTACTTTCTCATATAGAGAGGCACATATGTTGTAATAAACACTTCGCGCTCTCTATAAAATATCTCTATGCTTATACATAAAAATGTACATTTTTACATATAAAGTACTAAGACATGTAATATATGTATCATGACACAGGAATATATATGTAGCATATGTGTTTCCTTCAAGATAGGAATTCAAGCTCAGTGGTCGAGGAGACCAAGTACAATTTATGAACGGCCAGCATGACAATGGCCCCTAGTGGATGAAGTGTCTAGAGCTATCGTGGTAGTTACCTCAGCCTACTCAGTGTCCCTCCAAGGTCCTGAGACAAGGCCTTCAAGAGAAACACTGTTGTCAAGGTCTTATTTTCAAACAGAAAAATAAGACAGCGCCCGAAGCTAGCCAAAAGCTACAGGGTGGGTGGATGCACAGGGTGGGGGCTGGGGAGGGGACCTGCGGTCAGGGTTCTCCAGCACCCGGCCACTCAGCAGACTGTGTGGATGAGGGAGCAGGGGCGTGATGTCACTGCTACATGCAACATAAATACCAAAGGAAAAAAAGAAACTGAAACTGTACAGAAAATAAAAGAAGTATCTTTTCTAGAGAAACACAGGGGGAACTGGAGTCCGGGCTGCTGGGAACCCGTTTTACTCACAATATATCACTACCAGGGTGCGGTTAAAATAGAGTAGGGGCCGTATTCCGAGGCAGCAAAGAGAAAAAAAAATAAATCAAAAATATGTCAATGATTAGAAGTTCAAGAGAATTCCTTCAAACACATCAATTTAGACACGACTTTTCCCCTAGGAGTCTATGCTTTGGCAAAGTTTCAGAGGCAGAGGGAGAAAATATCAATCATTAGACCAAGTTCGTTATACAGAAAAAGAAAATGGGTAAATAGATTCTGAGAGCTTGCTGCTTGGCCAGACGCTGAGTTTGACCCTCTTCCTTGATGGAGAGCTATGAAGAAATGGAAAGAAATGCAAAAGTTAAACTATACTACCACAGAATTTCCAGGCATGGAATGTCCACACTCCGTACTTCTCCAGATAGTAAGACACAAAACGTTCAAGTCACTGAACACAAGTGAACGAAGAGGTGGAGGTGGGAGTGAACGGGAGTGAACGGGAGTGAACGGGGGTGAATGGGGGTGAACGGGGAAGAGCTAAGCTGGGAGAGGGGGGCTAGGGAGCTGTGAATAGGGACCAGTGACTGTGGCCAGCTCTGCCCACATGGAGATGTGCCATTCCAGGGTGGATTACTAACACCTGACCAGCCTGGTTTGGACAAATGCCTACACGGCAGCTGCCCTCTTCCACTTCAGGCATGGGGCAGTGTGCACTCGGTACCCTGTTAACAATTCTGCTCCTTGTAATGAAAGTTTCTTTGTAACCAAAACTTAGCTTCCCCAATTTTCTAACTTGCCTGGTATGCCTTGGGCTTAATAACTAATTTATTCTAACTGCCACTCGCACATACACATCTGCATCCTGCCCGCTGGAACAGTGGCTGTTATGGCCGTGTCATTAGGAAGAACAATATTTGGACAATTCTGATTGTTATCAAACATCGGCCTCACGGCCCAGGCCTCTATGAGGGGAGCAGCCCGTGGGGGGAGGATGCAGAGAGGAGTCAGCGAGACCCGGTCACACTGGCTCCGCTCCGCAGAGGTGGCCCTCCTGCAGCACTCGGCTGTGCATGATGGGAGACCGCACGCTTCACCAGCGGAACCAACTTCAGCGCAAATGAAGAGAATAATATTATTTCAAACAATTATGTGCCTTTCCCTCCAGGATAATATTAAAGACTACTGCCATTTGCTTGCCTAGAACCAAAATGGAAAATGCCCTTTGAGATCAAATCCTCATTTCTGGGAACTTAAAAAAAGCCCATCTGCTGGGTTCCAGCTCAGCAGGAGTCTGAGATGCTTACTCTCTATCCTTCCATTCCACCCCTGCCTCCCTAGACTCTGCTCTCTGTCCAGTCACCAGGGAGATTGACAGGAATTGGTGATATAATTTCCTTGCTTGAAAACAGCTATATTTATTGTGAGAATAAAGCCCAAGTTTTTTACCATGGTGCCCACCTTCCCCCATGATCTGTCTCATTCCCCTCTCCCTCCAACCCCGCCAGCTCCCCTGGCTGCCCTTCCTCCCCTCAAACACTGCAAACTCTTTTCTGCTCCTCACTAAAGCAGCATCTCTGAAAATGCTCCTCACACCCTCAGGCAGTATCCAATCTCTTCATAGCCCTTGTGTCTATCTGAATGTATTTAATTGTTTCTATGATCATTGTTCCATGACCCTCCAGTGGAGTAAAGGCTTGGGGGAGTGGGGCAGGGACGTTATGCTGTACGCCACGCCATCTTTAGCATCAAGAGCAGTGCCTTGCACAAAACAAGGGCACTCACAAAGCAAAGCGAGCTGGCGCGCACCACCTGCTGAGAAGGGCCTTCAGAGTCTCAGACTTGGGAGTGGGTTTGTTCTGTGCCTTACCTGCCTTTACACACTCGTCCTGACAGGCTGTCAGACTAGGAGAATTCTTAGGCCCCGAGAAGTTAGAGGCTCTTGTTCTGAGATTTCCACTCATATCCATCTTGGTGGGGTGTCAGAGTTGAGAGGAGGGGACTCTGTGTGTTAGGTCAGTGAAGAAGGGGGAGAAAAGAGTGCACTCAAAGTGTCCTAGACTTGGGGCACAGCCTGAGTGGATTTCCACAGAAATTACTCTAGACCAAGAGTCTTTTCCATGCTCCGGCAGAGCGGTACTTATATCTTACTGGTTTACATTTACTGTGCCCCTTTAGTGGTGCAGTGAATGAAGCCCTGTATAGTTCAGCATATCCCAGGAATGGTGTTCATCTGTGTGATTCCTGCTTGTGAAAAAGTACTTTATGGGACGATATTTTATAACTGTTCTTATTCATCAGACCCAATGCCACCCACTTTGCCCTTTCTCCTGGAAAAAAAAAAAAAACCAGATCAGGGAGGGCATCAGGAGAGCTCTTCAGGTAAGCCTGAACCTGTCTATGGGGTCTCAGCAATCTCATCCTGTCATTGAACTTGAAGCCTTAACTTCTTTTTGTAAGATGGGGTAAATAACATCTCCTGCCAATTATGTGGGATTATGGTAGGGATCAAAGGAAATAATGATCATAAGGAGCTTTGGAAAAACTAAATTGCCATAGGAAGGAAGGCGTCCTTATTAGCATTTTCTCTAGGGTTGTGAACAATTTCTATTAGACAATGAATGCCACATGATCATTGCCAAAGGCATGACCTTCTCAAGGCAAAGCCTACTTTAAAGCCCCGGTTTCTCAGGAACTCACAATCCAACATTCCTGACTTCCCATGTCTTTCTCAAGAGGCCCCATTGGCAAGCTGCTTTGGAAGGGGTTGGAGACGGGATATGCCATTAGCTACCAAGCCCAAGTTTGTCTACCCCAAAGAGCAGTGGTATTTGAGGTTGGTTTCTGGGACAATGATAAAATCCACTGGTGATGGCCAAGTTCTTTTCTTGGGACAGTCTGCAAGTATCACAGCTGGAAACACTGGCCTTTGCTACCAAATCTGCCGCAATCCCAAGTGGAAAGAGAGTCCTCACACTCAGTGCCCCCCCCTGCCTTAGGACAGCCATCTGTACCCCTGGCATCCCCACAGCCACAAGAAAGCACTTTACAAAACACTCCCTCCTCCGTGGCCTTAGCTGTCCTCCTCTTCACACCCTGTACTTACTGTGTTCAACTGGGCACCGCTAGCTAGTCATCCCTTTAGAGTCAAGAAGCGGGATTAGGCACTAGGTTTTTAGTCCTAGGTGCCGGTGGTGATGATTTTCAACCTCTGCTCTAATAAAGTGAGGACAGGTATTTATGTCATGTCTCTTTAAACTGCTGGGTGAAACATAAACATATTCAAGAAAGCTCTTGATGTTTAGTGTTTCTTCAAAAGGAAAAGGAGAAGGGAAATGAATTTGGGGAAAAGGAAGGAGAGAAGGAGCAACGGGGGTAAGAAACACTACTTACGCCGTTTGCAGCCGCACTTTTTTATTCTTTTGGGATCTGTGATGTCATCGTGACAGGCCTTGCAGTAAAAAAATGCCCTGGAGAAAGAGAATGGAAAAACTGACACGTTTCATAATCCACCCAATGAAATGAGCACCACATTGCCTCCGCTGCGGTGCCAAATTAATGAAACACGCCAGCACTAATTTCCTTTAATCTTCTGAAAGGTTTAGACGCTGACAGACGGAAATGTTTGTTGCAAGACCGTTTATTTCAAACACAGGTCTCTGTGATTTGAGTTAGTGCTTCTTTTAATAAACTTTCCCTTGAAAAGGAACTGGGGCAAAGGTTGCCGGTGTGACCCACAGGGTCATCCGCTGTCTTTCGCTCGAGGACAGCGTCCGTGCGGCTCCTCAGAGCACGTGGGCAAGCAGCCCCGGGCCCTGGGTGGGAAGTTAAACACACCGCCGAGATCCTCGGGCTGGGTAACTGTGTATTAAAGGGGCACAAGGAGGACGTTCCTCGAGCAAACAAAAATATTCGCCTTGTCACTCTGAAAGCATCTTTCCATTTCAGCCGAAGAGAGAGGCTGAGGAGGAGATTAGAGAAGGAAAATCAAAAGTGATGAATCAAGGGGTTCCTCTGTCAAATTCCTTCTGGGTTTCCATCATCCACATTCACTGCAAAGCTGGCTGGACCAACTCCCATACTCTCCAGCCTTGAGATCATGTAATAAGTGAAGGTTTTCTTCTCACTACATAGAACAGCTCCGCTGGCCAGTGGAATGGGGTGGGCAGCGGGCATTATAGGGTTGGGGTGAGTAGAAAACGACCCAGAGAAAGCAATCAATCAACAGGAAAATCCCCTCATCTTACTTAAGTGTCAATGTGATGACAAAGAGCACTGGCCATGTCAAAGATATTCTGGATGAAACAAAGTAAGACCATTCAAGCGCTATTTAAAAGGCTCGGGGCCTAGAAAAACAGCACCAGAGGCCTGTGTCCAATCAGTACTGGGGAGGTGATAAAATTCACTGAACAACCTCACAGCCTTCTGAGTAGAGGGACTCACAAAATCCCTGGCTTAACACCTTCGCCACTCCTAACAGGAAGCCGAATGCCAGGGATAAACATGGTCTGTCCTTGACCAGTGCTATAAAGAAATAAACACAATTCTTGACCATTTTATTCCTAGGTTTCTTTTTATGTTTTTTCATAGATCTGGGACTTTTGGAAACCAATGTTAAGACTTTTGATCTGAAAGATAGCTGAGATCTTGCAGCCAAAAGCCCTGGGACCCAAGTGTCCTCATCTGTAAATGGAAGAGGCAGGCATAACTGTCCACTGTCATCCTGTGCAGGCACCTGGCCAGCCCCAGGACTTCTAGATTCAGGCCCCATGCTCCTTCCACCCTGGCAGCTCATCCACTATTGCTTTAAATGCCAGTTTTCATCGATCTTGCCCGAACCATAAAAGGTAGCTGACTGTTTGTCCTCAGTGACAATGTGGCTAGGAACCCAATCAGTGACGACCTGCCTTAAAAAGGAAGTGCAAGAAAGAAGGAAGCAATTTTGTTTTCACTTCCTTTGCCCATTTTTCCCCACATTTGATGTTCCTAAATGTATTAATACTAGTAGCTAACATTTACAGAGCATAGATTATAGACCAGGTACTGTTCTAAGCATTTAATAAGTATTAACATATTTTACTCTCAAACAATCCTTTGATGGAAGTCTGATTAGTATCTGTTTTACAGAAAACTAAAAATCAGAGAGGTTAAGTGCCTTCCCAAGGTCACACAGCTAAATGGCACAACCAGGATTCAAATCCACATAATCTAGTCCCAGTGCCCAAGGTCTTAAACACACCTCTACTAAGGAGATGATGACATGATGATGAGCCTGAATAGACTGTTGAAAAGTAAAATATAATTACCTCATGAATTAAAGCTGATTCTGAAAGTAAAACACCCACGGGAGCCAGACAGGGAAAGTTAATGAGTGAGACGGGGGGTGGGGGGGGGTGGGTCTGTGGCAACCCGGAGGCATATCCCCTGACTGGAGAGGGCAGAGTATTTAAACTCCATCCGAGTCTTGCCAAGTGGCACTTCTCTGCCAGCACTGTTCTACTCCCCACCTACCTCTGCCTCCCTCTTGCTCACCTGGCAAAGCCCCTACCTTGCTGCATACCTGCACCTGAGCAGCTGAGTGTTGCTGACTGATTTCACTTTAAACCCGCCGCCCTGGTCTCCGGGGGCTGTTTCGCACACCTCAGGATCGACACTATCTCCTCCTCCCACCTCCAGGTTCTCTGGTCTCTTCTCCACTCCCTCTCCCACTTGGCCACACCCTCCCCACCTACCCTTCAGCTGCTGACCCTGCCACACAGGTCGTCAAGAAGACCATATCTGTGCCCTGAAAGGCTGGCATTTAGGGTCTCCTTGTTTTCTGGTTTCTCATTGTGTCTGTCTAATGTGGGGAGACAGCAAGAGACAGGAGGGAAAGAAGAGATGAGTCCTCTCCTGGCAGCTCACCGTTCTCTGCAGAAGGACACAGCTCCCGCGAGGTAGCCCTTCCCACAGCCCACCCTCCCCGTCTAGTTCTAACAGCCCTGCTTCCCCCGGACTCTCCAAACCCAGGGCTGAGAGTGGCTCCCTCTGTTGCCAACTCTGCGGTGCTCTGCCATTCCTTGTAGGTTTTCCTTAACTCTGTGCCCCCAGCTTTATAGATTCTCTTCACAGAACTCTCCTCTTTTTTCCCATGTAAGTGTGTTATCTGTTTCTTACCAGGACCCTCACTGGGAAGCGCCCAAATTTACACCTCCAGCCCTCTCCTTTGTCCTAAGAATCTTAGCTCCAGCTGCCTTCATGGCATCACCATGTGTACACTTAATGCATATATCCTGTTTAACACAACCCAGTTATGAGTCTTAAATTCCCTCCACCCCAGTCTTGCTCCTCTTCCCACTTTCCCCATCTCAGGGAGATGGAGTCATCATCAGATCTCACCTCCATTCTCGATTCCTCTCCTCTTATGTCCAGTTGGGCCCTACGAACTCTCCAAAAGATATTCTGAACTGGTCTTAGTCTCACCACCCCCACCCCCAGCTGAGCCCAAGCCATGGCCTCCCACCTAATTTCTGCAGAGTCTCCTGGCTCCTCTCCGCTTCCCCTGCATCTGATTCTCTACAGCGCAGAAAGGCCTTTTAATAATGTGAACCAGGTGACATCACTGCCAGCCTCAACCACCCTGACTCCATTTTCTAACAGACCCAACCTCTGTACGAAGCCCCTCGGGAACTGGCCCGACTGCTCTTTCTGCCCTCCCCTCGCCACTCCGCTTCCCCAAACGTCCTCTTTTCCCTGTGGTTCCCTGACCATGACAGACGTGTCCCCTCTTCCCTCAGGTCTCTGTCTCATGGATTCTTTCCCATCACCTCACCGTCTGCTCAGGCTCACTCCCTCTGAGAAACCTTCACCTACACCCAACCTAACTCAGTGACCCAGCCGTGCTCATGCTTGGCGCCACGACTACACACAACTGCGATTCTCTCCTCCAGGGAACGTGAGCCCGAGAGAGCAGGGACTCCTCGGCACTGTCTCCGCCATTTCCCTGGCACCTAGTACAGTGTCCTAAAAAGGGAGCGACCTGCACGTGTTGGATGAATGAATGACTGAATGCCGCGCCATGATGTTGGACCTGCAAGTCTCAGGAGAAATCAGTAATAGAAATTTTTATGTAAAATATTAGGACTTCTCCACTTTGGCAACTATTTTTTAATTGTGATTCAAATGAACCATGCCTGCAAGCCAAACAGAGCTGATGAAGCACCATTTTGTGACACCTACGTTCAATGCTATGTGAAGGTTATTGAAGAAGCAGAATATTTCGTGGCAAGGAGTACAGGGCAAGAGCCCAAATGCTTATCTCAAAGTGACCTTATTAAGACCGGAGTTGGATGGCTTTGCTCCTCTTTTTTCCCTAACACACAGCATCAGAAAGTTTCTATGAGCCGGATCCATTAACTTCTTTTGTTGTTTTTTGCAGCACAGGGTGCGGACTCAATACGAGAGCATCGTAATCTACTTTTCCATTTTTACAAAACTTGTTTAGTTTCATTCAAATCTCCAATGTCCTTTCTGAGGTTTTCTGCAGTCTTCATCTATTTGAAATCCCCTAACTGACAGCATTTGCTCTGACACATCACACACCACGGAAAATTACAGGCTGGTGTTGCAGCTGATTGTGTCAGCATGTATTTGTGAATACCATAAAGCACTGAAATGAGACATCCTGCACTCCCTAATATAGGAGGTAATTTGTTTCTTGGACTGCCTGGTATTTGTGACATTCATTAGTGAGAGATGCAATAGGAAATAGAATTACACAAATGGGAGCTTCATGTTATATTTGCTGTGTGGGAGGCACACGAGATCTACGGTGCCACTCTGCTCCCCTGCCCCCACTCACGGTGCTGAGACGCTGCTTCCAGCTTTTGTGTCTCGGTCTGGATGCGAGCACGCCCTTGCCCTTCTCCTCCAGGGGCCCTGGGAGGTGGGCGTTCAGTCCCATTCCTCCCACCCCACCTTTGCGCTCTCTCGGGTGAACCCGGCTCTCAGGGTACTCTTAAAGAACAGTAAGGACCTACAAACCTGTAAGGACCTGGATAGTGAGGTTTCCCTCTCCAACACCTGAATAATGGTAATTTTGAGGAAGCAGATGTGTCATCAGATAGCTCCGTTTTAAAGATTTGTTTCCCTTTTCCACCCTCCTTTTCTTACCTGAAAGCTTTATAACTGGTATGACTAGTTTGCAACAGTGGATGATGAGGAAGATAATAATAAGCATCAGCCACCAAATATCATCATTCTGCGCTCAGCAGGTCAGGTCTCCCTCTCGGCAAATAATGAAGAACAGAAGACTTCCTGGTTTTAACCCCTGGCTTTGAACCAACAGTGTGACTTTGGGCAAGTTAGTGAACCGACCTGTGCCTCAGTTTCCTCGTTTGTAAAGTAGTACTAACAATGCTGTCTATCTCGTCAGGTTGCTGAGTGGATTAGGGGAGCTCATCAATACCTGGCACCTGGTATTTAGAAGAGTGCCGCCACACGGGAAACTCTACGTAAGAATTTGCTCACATTACCACCTCTGGTAGACCCGGTGGGGTTGAGGAAAGGAAAGACAAGTCCCTGCCCAGGCTCTGCCACTTGCTTATGTGCCGTGTGGCCTGGACGAATCATTCCCCTCAACTTCACAGAGGAGGAGACCAAAGCCTGGGTGCTTTGAAGATGTGCCTTAACAGATTCTTTTCTGAGGAGGAACAATATAAAAATGTAGACACCTAGCACGGGCCTGGCTTTGCATAGGAACCCATTACGTGAAGAAGATGGGCTTCAATAAATTACAGACCTTCATGATTAATGAAAACATTTTAGGTAATGTTATTGATGAGCTGAGCAACCTGCGCAGGCAGTGAGTCCCATTTTTCTGCTAGTAAATCTTTTCTAGTTCATAGGATAGAATCCAATACGACAATGTTCCATGGTGTTCTGCACAGAGTCCTATAATTTCCTAGGCTGCTTGAACAGGTTTAAGGATACTAATAAAGTTATCATAAAACACGGAGGCCAGTGAAGCCCAGGGCTATACCTACAGAGGCTTCAGAACTGAACCTGACAACCGCAGCCACTTTGCTAGATGGCCATACATAGAAATATAGCCAGTTTAATATTTCATCTGAAGTCAATCCAAACCTTTTGAGATTCCATTTGATGCTGAAAGTAAAGAATTGATAATCCTCAAGTAACTTTGCCTGAGTAACGACATTATGTAAAGAGCTGTAGATGAGGAGTCAGTGGTCCTGTGCTATGTTGTTCTGGGTCTTGAGCATCAGGGGGACCTTAGACAATCAACTCAGCTCTCTGGAACTCTGTTTTCCTCCTTGGGAAATGAAGGCGGAGGTAACAAGGCTCTCCTACCTCTAAAGTGTTATTGCTCTAATCCGGAGATGTGGAGCTGATTGCGCACGTGAGGAGGAGCCCATGGAAGCATCTGAAAGCACAATCCCTTTTTCCTGAGATCTGGCACCACTTGATGCCCAGAGACAGGCTATGAAGTTGGGGGCTACGGCCCGATACATACAGAGCACGCCCACCGCAGCGGGTCAAGATGTCTATGGCTGCAACAGAAAGGAAGGCAGGTGAAAATAAGCTCTTACCTTTTAACTTCTTTGGCATCACTTGCGATGAAAAATCCTAAAGTACCTTCTTGGATCTTAAGATGGTTTCCAGGATTAATTAATATACTGCTCAGTGAACAAAAACAAAGAAGACACATTTGTGAGGTCATGTTCTGAGTAAAACCTCAAAGGCTACGCCACACTGTTCAATCGTATAGGGGGCCCACTAGTCTAATGCTTTCCTCAAAGATTTTGTCCAGAGCTTGAAGTCCACCGTCCCACACATTTATTTGGATAATGCCATCATAAAGCTCAGCCACTCAGTCCCCAGGCTGGCATACTGCCCATTGCAAAAATCAAAGCAAATCGGGGCTGCGGGGCCAGGTTTTTATAATGGGGTTGCAAACACGGGCTTCTGATCTGAAGCAAAATCCCCAATAATGTGCCCCTTTGGACAATACTGTTGATGGTCAACACTGAGTGTTATTAGTCTAATAAAGTTACTGCTATACCAATTTTCCATTAGATGACAGAGCATTAATGGGACCCCTATATGCATACAGAAACATACACATATACACACCACATTCTACTGCAGGGAACGGTACAAGACACCTCAAACTGATGCAGAAGCAAACAGAACCTCTGCATGACACTGATGAGGACATGGAAGTAGGTTCCATGTGCAGTCTATGTAGAAAGAATTAGGTCTACCAGAACAGTGAAAAAGGAAAATGCCAGCAATTGGAAATACTTAATGATTCCAGCATGTTGTTTACAAAGATGTAAGGGAGTTCTTTGAATAAGGTGTGTGTCTAGCACATCCTGATTGGGGCAAACTGTAATTAGAAAACAAATGCAAATTACTGCTTAAAAAAACTTCCCTTGCAGGGAAGTATCAACCTAAATATACACTGTCCTATTTCAAAGTGGTATAAATAGATTAGGAGACCAAGTTGTGTTTGGACTGACAGAGAGATAAGTGTATCCTAATCTAATAAATGGATGAAACAAACAAGTCTAATTTTCTGCAGATCAAAAGCAGAATCCGGGAACGCCATACACTTAGAAAGTGAGATGAGGCTTTCGGCTGAATGGATATGGAATTTACAGACTCTAAATTCAGCAATAGATACAACAGAAGGAGTCTTTGATCTGAAAATTGGGTGTTTCATGTAATGGATGTTTGGAATCAGGCAAAAGGAAGTCTTTAACTGCTTAAAATAATCAAAACGGAGGATGGCAATTAACATGTAATCCCTTTCTGCTGCTAAAGCCATTTCAGAAAAGTGCAGTGACCAACAGAGCAATACAGGAAGGACCCAGGTGAACTTTTGTTCTGTTGAGAGAATGGAGTAGATAATTATTGCAGAACAATTGTTTGTGGTCATAAGAACATCTACGATTACCCATAATAAGGCCTGACGGGAGGACACCAATCCTGTGTCACTGCTATTATTAACACTAAATAATAACAAGAGTTCATGAAGATTTGGCTGTTCTGCCCTAGAACCACAGACAACACAGGGACCCCTCACAAATCAGGAGGCAGCACCACGACCAACAGTGCAGCCTGCCAAGGGCAGTGCCTCGAGGAACCCCCCACTGACCCACAGTTTGCTTGTATAATGTGCACTTTTCTGCCCACATTTTTGAGGGGAAAATAAGGATGTGCATTGTACACGGGCTTTACTAATTCTGTATCTATATAAAGGTTTTTAATTCCTTTATTTATGCCTATGCATTAAAAGTGTAACTCTAGGAAGCAATGACGATATCTGTATGCAAAATAATACCCTGGAATACGATCATTGGTTTTGTTTTCAAATACATATAAATAAAACATTGAATTAAAAAATTAAAATGAAAGATTTTTTTTTCCCCGAAAGTTTGGGCCAGAAACATGGGTGCACACTACACACGGCAAAATATGGTAACCACCAGTTCTGCACATTCATCAACCAGCCCTCTGACTTCTCATGATCACGAGGAGAAAAGGGTCGAAGCTTCTGCAGTTCAGATGACTCTACTCTCAAAGCCAATTAAGTGCAATGTTTTAGAAAGGCAGCATCCTGGATTCTGCACACTTTCTACTCCTGTTCCTGTAAGGCAGCTCTTACATGCCCTGGCTCTGCGATTCCAAATGCCAGCACAGCCATTTAGTAGCTGTCTGACTTTGGTCAAGTTTCTGAACCTCTCTAGAACTCAATTTCCTCACCCACAAGACGATGATAATCATAGTTTCTTCAGAAAGTCAAGTGAGATAATTGACAGAAGGCTTGACGTCTATCGGTTATTGTTTCATTTATTATTTATTATTGCAAAAAACAAAAGCCAAAAGGGTATGGTAAGAATGATGGAATAATAATTCCATCATTCTTAACGGAATTATCAGATTTCCCTTAGCTGGCCCCAAAAAATGGAATGCAGGGCTTAAGAAACATCCTGGCCATAATTAAAGTTACAGGGTGAGGAACTGTACACTTAAGAACAATGGGCAAGGACCTATGAAAAATTCGGGGTAACTTCTGGAGATTAAAGGAGCTAATTCCTTAAAATTGAAAAATTCTACCTGTTGACATGCATTCATTTAAGAGTATAAAAGAGCTTCCTGAGTGGGGAAAAAATCCTATCATGATTTCAGCAACGCAATTCAAAAGGGGAAATTTGACACTCATCAATGTCTTGGTGACATATATGCACAAAACAAGCCTCGCGCAGAATCCACTTCCCCTTTTTTACATTACGTGCTTCGGTAACTGCACTGCAGTGATGGATCCCACTGTGCCATGGTGGTGACAGCAAGGTTCCTATCAATGAAAAGTCTCTTTTCATTTCCTCTGTTCTTTATCAGCAGCAAGGAAGAACTGGCCTACCGTAAGAATTTGGGATTGTCACTCCAGAGACTGCAGGTTGAGATAATTTATTACAGCCCTCAAGCTTGCTTCAGCCAAGTTTGAGGGTGCAGAGGAAAAGATCTGGGCAGGGATGTAAGGCAGATCTTTTGCCCCAGTCTCCGCTCTGCTGCTGCGCTTGGTTAAGCACACAGGTGCATGTGTCGGGCCCGCAGCTTCAGGTCCTGGACTGGAGCACGTGGGGCTGCTGAGCCTCTCACTCCTTGTCAGTGAAATGGGGTGAATAATCACTAGCTTATAGTGTTGCTGAATTAAAGTACATACTATGTGCCAAGCAACTGAAACATAGTAGGTCTTCAATACATGGCTGCTATAAATAGTATACATGGTAATTGTAACAAGTACATGAGAAGTAAATAATCTCTCATAGCATCACACTCCCCATTTTGTCCTTGGTGCTGAGAAACTACCCAGGAGGTACCCTAGTGGCACTTGAAAGACCTTTTTACTGACCACAGTATCTGTGGTTGGTAACTTGATTCTTGCACAGTATCAGGGGATGGGCTAATCTGGACGGGCTTTTGGCTGCACAGTGGAGTAACTCTGTTCCTTAAGCTTTATGGCTGAGTGTAAAAGGCACTAAGAACCTACAAGAACGTCAGCGACCATGTAATCCCAGAATGTCCTCTTGTTGTCTTCTGGACAAGGCTCAGAGGCTTTAAATCACTTCTGCATGCTGTGTGAGGCTGTATCACTTGCCGGGGTCCAGATCGGACTAAGGCAGCCTTCTGGGTGGGAATGAGAAGGATGAGCCCAGCTCTGGAGAATAGTGAAGGAAACACATCTAGATATATAAAGATGCTCACTGGGCTGGACTACCCTCGTGTATCTGAGGGTTCGGTATACAAACACACATGCCAGACTCCAGGGAGCCCTGCACACAACACTCCCTGTGTGGGCACACGGTCTCAAAGACTCTTGGAGGAAATATGTTACCCTTTTTGATATTTTAGACATTAAGTCTTTTATACGTACTTCAAATCTATGAAGTTTAAAGTTTTGATCCTCATTTTTTGAAAACGTAAAATGGTAAAGATCCTGGACAGAAGTAACTTTTTTGTTCCCACAAAGTATCAACTATCCTTAAAATCTGTTACTGTCCTCCTAATGGAAATATGTAAACTTCTCCAAAGATCTTTCATCTCTTAAAATACCCTATGTTTAGTTTGTTTGTTTTCATGACTGCCAAAAGCCTCCTGCCATGTGTAGCACTTTAAATCAGTCTCTGTCTCCCAATTCTGTCTAATTCACTAGCTTATCAGACAAAGATAAACTTCAAGATGTCATGTGAAGAATCAAGAAAATCTATTTTAAAAAAAGTCCATACATCAATTAGCAGAATTCCAATAAGGACATCTTCTTGGCAGGGGTGGGCCTTCCCTCGGTTCAAGAAACCTATAAATTATCCTCTTTCCACTATGACCTTGTTAATTCCAACTGAAAACATTCAGAGATAACCGGAGGCAAAGGCCTGCCATTGTCTCTTCGCCAAGCATTCTCGTTCTCTCTTTCTTTTGCTCTCAGACTAGTTTTGTATCTAGACTTATTCTTCGGCTCCTCACGCACTATAGGAGCAAATATATATATATATTTGTGGGGAACTTATAGTTGAGTAAAGGAGTGGAAAGCATGACCATATTTTATTTACTTTTATAAATTCCTTTCTCATGTAGCCAGCGGCATGGAAGAGGCACTTTGCAACTATTGGTTGAATGAGTGAAAAACAAAAGTCATGGGTCTCAGTTCCAAAACCGCTCCTTCTCTGTCTGCTAAGGAGAAAGGGAGTCAGAGCTGTTCTTCCGAGACCAAGCTGCAGTTCTTATCAGTCAGGCCGACCAGGGGAGCAATCACACCTCTTCTAGGGTGCAGTGGAATAGCCACCCATGTGGAGAGCTGAAGCAACTGATTTCAATACTGAAAACACCACTCACTGAGAACTGATATATGTGTTCCTGATCCCAAAACACATCACATGAAACTGGCTAGCAGGGCTCAGTCCCCCAGGGAAACATCCCTGCCAGGTCCCTCTGGGAGGGGAGCTCCAGGTCTCAGGCTGCAGTGAGTTATCTGTGTATTTTCACTGTGTATCTCTTGCTGAATTTTGGTCAGGGTAGACAATTGGGGCAAAACGAGGTATTCCCTTTCTTTACCACTTATGCATTAACTGGGAAACATCTAGCTCCTTCTCCTCCAATTATCATAAACTTTATTTGTTTGCTGCTTTTAGAAAAAAACAGTGATTAGTAATTCAACTGAAATAATTTTTTTAATGGAAACTTTTATCCACTATGGATAAATATGACAGGTGTATATCTCTTTTCTTCCCGCTCAATTTCTGGTAGGTGTGATGTACCATTCCCTGAGCAATTACAAAAATATCACTTGCATGAGAACATAGTTTGTATTCGATAACATGGTAATTATATCAATGTCTAGAAAGCTAATGGGACTTCATTACCTAGAGCAAAAGAATAAGAACAATCTAGGGCTTCCATTCATGCTGTGCCCAGGGGGATCAGGCCACTGAAAGTGGCCTCTCTGATGATACGAGGTCAAATGTGATTACTATTGGGTGGGACTTTCTTTGAACCAACTGGTTCCCATTTCAGGAAATACAACTACAACTGCCTTGCAGTTTAGGGGCTGTGTTAGCACACAGCCTACAGAAACCGCAAATCTCAAATCTTACTGCCTTTCTGGAACTTTTCATTTCTTCCGGGCATTCAAATATATGCAGCTGGAGTCCCACACAACTAGACACATACACTTTTTCACAGTATGTATTCCATGCTTTAGTATACTTGAACCCAGGTCACTTACACAGAGACAGCATGATAAAGATTGCTCCCAGTTGGTCAGACCCAAATGGCCACCACTGTGGTCAACCAATGATATGTTCATCCTGATTCCATCTCAGTCATTTTAGAAGTAGCATTTTTAAATAGATTTTGCACGCAAGAAAAACAGTAGCCACATGGGAAGGAAAAGAGGTAATTCATTTGGAAAGGACAATGCTGGGAATTTGGTTCTGGGAACAAGCTGAGTCACTTTTTGGTGCACTTTAGACACATCATGCCTACATCACAACATGCCTTCACCACACGGTAAAGAGACTCAAAAGCCAAAAGCCCACGGCAGAGGTGCAACCGCCGTGGGCCTTGGAGGAGGCAAAGTGTTGCAGTAACTTCTCGCAGTTGGATCATATCAACAATACCAAACTGACAGGAAGCCACGTCCATTTTCACACATCTACTCAAAAACTCACAGCACAGTCTGACTTTGGAAAGAGTTCTAGACAAATGCACGCACACACACGGAATCACAAACACAAAGATGGGACAGTGATCACAGCCACTGAGAAAAACAGCTTGAGAAGATGAACAAGTAGGCATCTCAATGGAATGTCTTCCACAATACTTCTTTACACAGAGAAAACATCTGAAAAGCTACACTGGAACTATTAACCCAAAAAGTTAAATGAAAAAAGCTATATAAAAATTTGGTCATGCTTCATGCAACATGTAAGAGCAGCAAACAAGGGGAGGTCACATGGTGAAAGCTACAATACTTCATGTTAAGAAATATGTCCAAAGACACGAGGAAGAACAGAAAGCTGTAAGGCGACCTCAAGAAACAGTAACTCATCCAGTAAATCAAACGTGATAATCTGGCAATTTAGTAGCAGTGTCCTAACTCTGCACTGAGTACTGCACGAGAAACAAAATGAGCAAAACATTATCACCCAACTAGGCATAAGGAAAGAGGTAAATGCAAGGGCTTGGTCTCTGTTTTGTGGATAAAAGGACACACGCTGGAAGTAGACATGGGGGGGGGAGGTCACGGGGAATGTGGATGTGTTATGTAGACAAATGGCACCACAGAGTCTGGTGGACACCAAGACACACCAGGACGGGACAGAAACAGACACCGCGGGCTGGACAGAAGCGTCCTCCTTTGCAACTTGAACAGCATTTGTTCCCATCATTGGTGTCATAACTGAGAACAGAATTGTGTCTTTCATAGTAGTTTTTGTTTGTTTTGGTTTCCTGCAAAGAAGTTAGTGCATCATCCAAAAGAATCAACAAATCAAACAAGAAAAGCAATAGGCTACTTAAAGTTTTTATGTACACTAGTTTGAGAGGGATTTATGTATAAATATACATTTATAAATATATACATATACAACAGACAAGGGAATGAGATTATATATACATGTACACAAATATATATATATATATATTCCCTATCTTCCTGAATTCTTGGCAAATAGTCCTGTAGTGAGAAGTGAAGATAGAGGGTGGAGGTTGGGAGGAAAGTTAACGAAGAGTGCATACCGCTTTCGGCTTCTGCAAAACGACAAGAAAAGAATTTAAATCAAACAACGTGATAATAAATTGACTGACACCAAAAGGAAAAGAAGGAATAAAACCTTTGTTTCAAATTATTTGAAGGATGCATGTGAAAACAAGGTTTCTCAGCAAAGCATGGGCACAGTATCACGGTATGAAACAACAGAGGAGGTCGCTCAACATAGGCTGGAGGCAAGGGGTGGGAGGGAGAAGGAGGGTTCTCCGAGTTTTGACACCAGGGCACTTAGAGCAGGTGAGAGGGAAGGAAATGGGACATTCTGAATGCTGGAAAAAACCTAAGATTATTATCTCAGGGAGGGTCAAACACTTGATTCTTTGAAACATAGATACTGTGTTTATTAAGTCCTGTGTTTTCTCAGAGATATGATCCACATTCCCTCAGATACACCTTTTTCCACAAGAACCAATGAGCTTCCACATTGAGACCAAGCCACATGTGAGGGTTAAAGCTGGCAAAGGCACACAGAAAGCCAAAACAAAGCCAAACAAATCTCTTCTCCCTTTTCTTAAAAAAAAAGAAAAAGAAAAATCTAAAGAACTCTATCTGTACATTTGGCTTTGTTGAAAACACCTCTGATATGTGAATTACTTGGAGAGTCCATCAAAGAAAAGACTCTCTCTGTTCAGGAAAACCTCTGATTTCTTTTCCTCAGAGTGCGGTCAATGTATTCACACTGAACCATCAACACACTTCTTCTGTCCCTCCTTGTGACCAAAAAGTGGCAGGTGAGAGATGACTGGTCAAGGTTCAGAGTACAGTCTCCAGCTATAAAAATTTTTCCAGAATGGTTGAGAAACACTATTTGGCATCACCCACATCATGACACTTTTTTGAGAGATGCACAAAAAATAAAGAGAGAACACTGAATTGCACAAAGATTTACTGACTTGGCAACATAGAAGATATCATTTGCAAAGCCCCCTACACAGGTGCTGGTGAGTATTGGTGACATGGGCAAGCAGTAGTCCCAGAAACACCCATGTTATCTGCTGAACAGCAAATAGCCAGGACTCTTAGTGCTTTGGGTTTTTTTTTGCAAATAATATTCTTCACTTTGCCAACACAGAAAAGAAAAATGTGTATCTACATACATATTTGTTAACTGCTACATCCATGTTCTACATGTGTCTACCAAATCTACCATTTTTTCTTCCTCTTGGTTGATTTGGATTTTCATAAGAGACGAAAGTTTGATCAGATTGACTTTATGAGCAATCTGATCCAGGGGTTAAGGTAACAGAGAACATTGGATTAATTTGCTGATAATCCAGTGTTGTTGTTGTTGTTTTGATATAGAGACACAGACTGCACATTTGGAAGTCTAGCTTTATTGAGTCATTCATCCAAACAATGAAAACTCCTTAAACGATGATAGCAGGAACCTCTAGTCTCGCCCTGCACTCTCGTCAGAGAGCACCTGCCCGCTACAGAGGACTAACCGACCAGAGTCGGGAACAACCCACGCTGTCGTTCCAGAGGACAAAAGCCTGAACATTTCTCAATGACTTATCTTTCTTTCAAAACTATGGATAAGAATGGGGGTAGGGGTGGCAAAAATCATCTCTATTTTATTTGTAATACGTACAGTATTTCCTCAACAAAATTCCTCTTTAATGTGATACTTCCTTCTTCCAATGTGAACTCGTATATCGACGGGGGTGTTATCTGTTTCAACCAGACCCAGTCCCTCATCAGCCTGATTTGCACATAATTAAGTACAAAATAAATAAATAAAGAGGGCTCCTGCCTCTGAGCCTTGATCTCCTGGCTAATTTACATGAAGCTGTTATTCTGCCACCTGGATTTCAGCTGCATCGGGAGAAGCACATATGGTCCACAATAGGCTGCTTGTAATTTGGCTATCAAGAGAGCTCGTATCTCCCATCACGGCTCTGCCCTGCCTGCTGGGATGGGGGCCAGGGTCCACCTGCTTTGTGCTCACAACAGTAAAAAGGGGTAAGAGGACAGTGTCTGCCCCTGCTTTTATGCTGAAAGGGTGGAAAGTGAAAGTTGGCATGACCAAATGGAGAGCTGAGTGTCCCATTCCCTGGAGAGACACTCTCAACGCCCAGTGGGGCTGGAGATGCCAGGTGGGTCCAGGAGAGGAACACCCGTGTCTGGCTGAACATGCCTCAAAATGGGTCCCAGGATCAGAGAGGTGTTGCATCAGGGTTCCAAGCACATAAACAATGCCTAATAAAGAAAAAGTGGACCGAACATTCCCAGAGTGCACTCTCACCATCATAAACGTCAGCTGGCTGCTGAGACACAGCAGACTTACCGGCTCTCGCGGTTGGCAGACTTGTACTCAATGGCTATCATTAGGAGCTTGAGCTTCACAAAACACAGCCTGCAAAGAGATGGAGAAAACTCCCAGTCAGTGCTTCTGAGGACCAGAGCCACTTAGCAAACACTATTATGACCTTTTCATCTCCTAATCCAGCAGTTATCCAAGGGACCCTCATTCTACAGTGGCTGTGCCAAACGGATGGGGCTGCGAGCGACACCTCCCAGCATCCCCATTAAGGCTGATTTCTCACAAGCGATAAGGCGCTGAATGTTCAAAGTGCAAATTGCACTCAGGTCTAGATGTCTAGACACAGACCCCAAGCAGGAATTGGTGCCTGGGGATTTATACTGGGCCAGATTCATTAGTTTCTCCGTTGGGTAGTAAAATGTTAACTGCAGGGGGAGGGAGGTTTTTGGAGCAGCTGGACCTGTTATTTGGATTCCGCTTTGGTCTTTTGTACAAATGGCTCATATTGTTGTTCCGAGCAGACCCCTGTGTGCTCAGAATGATGGTAATAATCCTTAGCCTCCATGTAACTGCCCAGCACTTGACTGCAGAGCTGTCATTCCTGGCTCCAGCCAAGCTGCCTCACCTTATCTGCCTGCCACTCTTGCCCACAGCCCAGGCTGCTTCGAGGCAGACTGGGTCCTGCCTCCATTCCTTCACTGACACACACCCTGCCCCCGGAACATCTCCTTTCTTCCTGACACCCTCCCCAGGCCCATATCAAACTTAACCTTCTGTGTGGGTCTTCTGCAGCAACCGCTGCCCTCGGATTTCCTTTCCACTCTCAGAACTCCTCCAGCACCTTGTCTGCAACCACATCTTCTAGCCTTTAGTCAGTCTAACATTGGCTGTGGTTTCATGTGTCTGAATTCTGTCTCCTCAACCAGTGTAACTTCCTTAAGAGCTTTAGACTGGTTTGAAATTCCCCATAGTACTGTGCATGGAACCACTGATACAGACAAACTCAAGAAATCATTTCCACTACTGACGTTCGATTCTAAAAAAATCATAACAGGTTCTGGAAAATACTTTCTGCATAAAGGTATTCAAGGTAGTAATATTTATACAGAGTTAAAAAAAAGGAAACAACCTAAATGTTCAGTAATAAGGCAACGCAGTTGAAGTATGGTTCTATATGGTATGTATTAGCATTCACAAATGACATTTTGAAGACTGTTTTAAGGTATAAGATCAACAAAAAACATTATATAGATAAAATATATAAATAATGATACAATTATGTAAAAAATATATTTATATACTCATAGAAATAAAAGCTCATATAAATAATATATATATAATAACTTATAATTGTGTTTCTATAATGGGCATTATCACTTATGGCCCAAAGTCTCTTGGATAACAAAGCAATGGTTTATTAATAGACAGAGAAGTGAGTTGATGGTTATTTAGCTCCAGCATTGTAAGGGGGAGGATATTTTAGGTCACAGGTCAAGGCCTTTCTTGGTGCTTTGATTTAATCCCCACCATATCCCTGAGAGGTAAAATGTTATCCTAGTTATTCAGACTTCTGCTACTATCTCAATTTTTCAGGTGATGAAACTTAGGCTCAGAAAGCTTGTGTGACTTGCCAAGGTCCCAGCTACTATTTAGCGAGATATACAACATCTTCATCCCCGGTGAAGTCTATTTTGTATTGGTAGAGATAGGTAATAAGTGACTATACAAAGAATAAGTAATAAGAACACAAGACTATGTAGAAACTAAAACCCCTAAGAGAATAAAGAGTAACTGAAAAACCGTGTTATCTGCAATGGTCCAGGAGGACCATTCTGAAGAAGTGACATAGAGCACCAAGCAACGGAGGATGATGGAGAAGCAGGCAATGAGAGGATGTGGGGAAAGAGCATCCCAGGGAACAGAAACAGCAAGTGCAAGGGCCCTGAGGCTGGAAGGAATGTTGGGTATTTCAGGACCAGCAATAACAACTGTGATAATGACTGGGTTGGGGAGCTGGGTGGGAGGCAGATCAGAAGATTTTGCTGGCCACAGCAAGGTGTCTGCTGCTTATTCTTAGCAGAATGGGAAACTTTGGTTTGCTTTAAATAGCAAAGCACCATAATCAGATGTGCTGGGCTTGAGGATGTGTTACTTACAGGTAAAGTACTTGTTGGGAATAAGACCAATTGCTCATTCATGCCTCTGAGGTCATGGTCCTCCATATTGCTTTCAACAAACAGTCAGATTCCAAAGGACCATTTCCATGCAAGTGTATTGGGGCTCTTGGGTGATTTGCAGGTTTTCTGATTTCTGCCAGCAAACTCTAATGACCTGGGCTTTATGCTGATTACACAGTTTGCTGAAACACCAATCCAACTACAGCTGGAAAAATGTTCTTCTTAATTTACGTCCCATAGAGCACCGCTAACACACACCTTTTATGGGGCTGTTACTTCTGGAGCTTAAAATGTTTAAAATATCAGATGGCTTATGCAATATTTGTTGAACCAAATGACTAAGATTAAGTAACCACTTTTTAAAGTAACTAGCAACTAAATGCCAAAAACTCAAAAAGTGTGATCTTAACTTAGCAAGGATCATGAAGAGGCCAAGTTGCTGATTCTATGAGCAATGACCACTCTGATTTGGGACTCTCGTAGTTCATGGGATCCAGGCTCTTAATTGCTTTAACAACCTGATCCTACAGGTGAGAAGGGAAGAAACAGTTCACAGTAATAATAATGTCCTCCTAGGCTACTTCAAAACTGTTTTCCAACTGGACAGAAAAAGAAAGCAGCTTTCTAATGCAGGAAAGTCGATAAAATCTACATAGCCTATGCACATTCATAACCTAGCAGGAAGTACACCAGCAGATCTCTGAGTCCTCTTTCATGCCTTTCAAGTCTCTTTCTAAGATAATGCTACACTACTCTATAGAAACTTCTTTCTAAGAAGCTGTTTGACCCAAACCATGCCTTTGATCACTGGCCAAAGAGACAAACAAGAGCGGGACAGGGTGATGCAAACAAAGGGATTATATACCAACGGTGCCACAACCACAGATTTTTCGCTCAGGCCCTTCAAGCCTGGCTGACCCTGCTCTTCTCAGGCAGATGCCAAACTGAGTTCCAAAGATGGGGAAGCAACTTGCTCAAGGTCAAAGGGCCTTTCCATAGAAAAGCCAGAAGTGGAAATTAGGCAACTTGTTCAAGGGTAAGCAAGATTTCCATTTTTACAGAAATGTCAAAAGTGGAAATCAAGTCTCAATGCAGTGCTACACAGATGTTTCTCATAAAAGCATGGTGGCCAGAAGCCCAATGTGCAGACAGGTTCTGTCTGGTCAGTGTTTTGTCCTTTTTTTTTAAAACTGACATCAGATAACAATAGGTGGTGTCATATAAAAACTAGTTTTCCAGATTTCCTGGACAGATCAGATATGGCCACACTGAAGCTAACAGAGATTGGGGCTTCAAAGCATTTGCCCCTTTAGATGAGGCATGTGCTCTCCAATATGCCACAGTCCCCACCACTCCCTGTTGTCTCAGACCTCACTCTTCACTCTTTGTTATTAACTATCTCCTACAGGTATCTATGTTTTTAATCTCTACTCTAAGAGCATCATCTGGATGTTTGCAAAATATCAATCTTTAGTAGTTTACTATTTACACTGGTAGCAGAACTTTGTCTCTCCTCATAAGTAGGTTTTCATTAGATCCTGTCACAGACAGTTGGCCAATGTTAGGGTACTAAGCTTAAGGCTGAAGCACAGGTGCAGTTCCTGTTGGGGATCCAGTGGGGAAAAACAGATCCAGGCGAGTAGACAAGGGAGGGGGTATGGTTTTGTGTGGCAATCCTTTATTTATTCATCTCTCTGCCCTCTAGACTGAGCCTCTTCATGCAATACGCATTCTTTCTCTCCCTGGCATTTTGGAAAGTGCAAAGCATAAGATTTCAATAAATACTGATTAAATAAATGTATGAAAGAATGGGGAGCGGAACCTCAGAAGTTGCTGGAAATATACAGAAGAGATAAAGTGGTAACTGGGAGTATCTAGTTTAGACAGAGAAGGCTTGGAAGTGCATATAGAATCATGAAACAGAATGTCTCTTGTTCTGTAAAAGCACACAGATTGGGGGGATAGGAAAGGTGTAGAAGGAAATAATAGCAGTGATGTGCTCTGGGAATTTAATTTGTGCCTTCAATCCACTATGCCACAATGTAAGCACAAATCTAAGATACAGACATTAATTTCTCCTTGAGACCGTCTACAAATCTTGTTACAAGAAGCATGCCCCCAAGAATGTGCCTTCAGATTACCCAAAATTGATGTCCTGAGATTGAACATTTACTTGCATCATTCAACACCTTTTTTTTTTCTTTTTTAAGCAAAATGGGCTTTGCTCATCCAGTCCGTATAGTCATTCTGTGGCTTGACTCAGGCTACTGCATTTAAATGTATACAGGGCTGGGTGGGGGAAGAAGGGAGGCCTGGGGTGAGACAAGGTATAATAAAGAAGAAAGAAATTTCACAATGTGATAAACAGAATGAAATCAGTCATATATTAGCAAGAATTTAATTCTTGGTTTCTAAAATAAAATGTCCCAATATGCCCAATGCAGGAAGTTGTCGCTAGCTGCAAAAATAATTACAGGGGAATAGAAATGACTTCTTTTTTTTTTTCCAAGGAAAAAAAATGCTACTGTCACAAAAAGGTCTTAAACCAGCAATCTGCAATAAAACTGTTGTAATAACAAGTTAGATTGCTTTCTTGATAATTATTAAGTAGAGGTCTACTCAATTTGACAATGACATTATACAAAGCCTTTGTTTTATGGCCAGCATCATCTGTTAACTATAGTAGTTTCAACCCAGATGTTCCTGAGTAAAGGCTCTTAAGAATTAGAGTCTAACTGTTTCTACCTACCCAGAGGGACATAAATTATTCTTGCCATTAAATCAGCTCCCTTGACTAGAAAGATTGCTTGCTAGTGTGAATTAAGCATAGAAACCTGTCATAGAATATGCACCTTCTAATGTGCTCAGAAGAATACGCAGCTTGGGGCCAGGAGTGAGTTGGGCGAAGCCCCCAAA